GTGTGTGTGTGTGTGTGTGTGTGTGTGTGTGTGTGTGTGTGTGAGAGAGAGAGAGAGAGAGAGAGAGAGAGAGTGTATTAGGTATAGAAATGTGCATGCGTTGTGTTGGTAAGCAGCTTAAAGCCTGTAATTACCTAAAACTTCATCCACTTCTCAGCTGCAACTTCACTCTAATAAGAGTTGAGCCAGTCTACCCTCCCCCCCCATCAAAATAACACACACAATTAAACACAATCTTGCTATAATTATTTGACGTGGGTGTATATGCTTATACGCGACACCTCGAACACCCACACTCATGCACAAACGCACACTAAAACACAACAGACACTACAAAACACACACACAATTTGCAACAAACATACAAACCTCTGGCTGCTGAAGAACGGTTGTGTTTGGAGTGAGGAGGCGGCATCACGTCKCAATACGTTGTATATTTAGCACGTTTTCTAGGAAATTTGCCTCCAGGCAAAGATATGGCACAGAAAATACCTTTGTGTTCTTTAACTTGTGCGTTTGATTTATTGATTTATTTTTTTTTCATGTGTTCCTTTGACCAGAGGCACTCCAAATCCAGGCTGACGTGCCAAAGCGTGGAAAAGGARGAAGATGTTCAGGAGCGGACTGGGAGGGAGGCTGGAGGACAGTTCAACAGGTGACCTTTGAACAGCAGCGCTGACGGTCRCTGACAGCTGACAGGTTTGACGGCTGCTGCTGCTGYGAGCGCATAAACAACCCAAGCTCTGAGCGAGGCAGTGAAAGCTCTAAAACTCCTCCAGCTGTTGTATTAAGCATGGGTGTGTGAGAGCTGGAAGGGTGGGGTCAAAGKTCAGAGCTGAAACTAATAGGAAGGGAGAAGACGTTTTTTTGATTTCTTCTTTTTAAATGTAAAAGCTGTAATCTCCTAAATGAAATGTCTGGGATCACCTTTATTAAGTAAATACATTTCTGACATTTTAAAAAGAATTGGGAGAGATAAATATTATGGTCAAAGATAGACGTTTGAATCAATCACTGCACCTTCTTTTATTCTCCAAATGGAGATACTGTAATGAAGCTTATGTTTTGAAATAAAGGCCAGTTTGAGCTGAAAATCACTTTATCTCCTTTAGATATTTGAATCTGCACAAATGATTCTAAATCCTAAATTGTTTTTGTTGTAAATATGACAAAATGTGAGACTATTAAATATTGTTTTAAACATAGTGAAGTGAATTAGACTTTTTTAGGTCACTGTGTTGGACAGGGAGCTGGTTTCTGTCCTAACACAGAGAAGTGTAAAACTGGATTGTTATAAATCGCAAATGAACATATTTTGTGCCTTTTRACAGAATTTACTACAAATCTTTTTTAAAAAGCATTCTATATTTTTTGTGTCGTGGAAAAGAGAATCAAACGGAGCCCATTTCCATCTGCCACGTCAACATAATGTAGCTCAAACCTTCTTCTACATTCATTGTTTTCATGTTTTCCTTTTAATCCGATTTTTGCACGAGTATTTGACTAACAAAGCCTGGATGCTGAGCTCTGTTTTTTTCTCCCAGTCCCTGTTCCTGGTTGTATGTTCATTATAAGCATCCCCTCAGGGTTCGCCACAATCCAGATTTCTGCAAGCAATGTGACCAAGTGTCTGTYTGAAACTGTGCGTGCACGGCATGTAGGTGTATCTGTGCATGAGTCTGGTCCCTCTTAATCTGTTTGCCTTTGATGCTCCTTCCTGTGGATTGCAACCTGGCTCTGATGGACAATCCTCTCTTTCCTGCCGTGTTTTTTGTCTCTCGCTGCAAATAGGTTGATGAGTGTGTGTGCTCAGATCGTTCGTCTCATATTTACACTCAACCTGCACGGTGTGCCTTTACATGAGCTTGTGGTGGCACGATTTACCAAGAATGCAGAAACACGTTGGAATAAATGCACAGAAAGTCTGCGTGTATGGTCRTCAAATKATTTAATTTGAGCAACAACAGAGCAGAAGTCAATCAGAGAAGWCTGTCAAGTTGWGGCTGGCTCGTCAGCACAGAGCAGCTGATAATATARCATCCTGTGACATSCTTACAACCAATCACAGTTCGCCATCTGTGAACCRTMTAACCAATRACAGGGCTGTCAGSCCGGAAACACCTTATCAAAATAAAAGAGGTCATGCATTGCTGGAGTCTTGAAGTCTGGRCCGATAGATTAAAACAGCCRAAACTAGTTWTCATGMGATATGATTACTGGACAGTGTCAAGGTAGAACAGATATACATTATTATTCCATAACAAGCTCACCGTTGCTCTTTTCCTGGAATCAATTTTAGGGGTGGGAGAAAGAGGAAGACGATGAAGCTGAGCAGGGATCTGTCGAACTTGGTGGTCTTCACCAATTCTGTCGCCTCTCAGGAGTGTTTAAATGAAGGTGAAGTGCCCAGATTGACACACAAACAGACAAGGATATTCACTTAATTATTTTATGCCCACTCTGGATTTGCTTTTTTTCTTTTATTTTCAGGTACTCCAGGTGACGTGTTGTCGTTCAGTGAGACCAGAGCACAATCWCTGGTCAACCACAGGACCGAGCAGTTCCTGGCTTTTAACCAGAGGCAGCTGTCACGGATTTATCCCTCGGCCTATCGCATCGACTCGTCTAATTTTAACCCTCAGTTTTACTGGAACGTGGGCTGTCAGTTGGGTAAGATACATCACCCTGTCACTGAAAGCTCCTAATAAAGACTTSGAGCTGCCTCGATTTAGTCACCCGTCAGATATTACTCAACACTTTCTTACCTTTCGTGTCTTATTCTCGACATTCACGTGATCTTTCAGATTTTTTGSATTAGACTGCACCCAAATCTTTGAGCATCTAAATATCTAATTTCGGAATGACGTCATATAAAATCCAAATGATTTGTAAAAGTTTAGAGTTTAAAGGATGCATGTTTTCACTGTGTGTTGAGTGTGGGTTTTACCTTTGCCTTAGGTMTTTTTAAGGTTTTGTTTTTAAGTCATGTTTCTATTTTAGTTTTATATCCAGAACCTATTGTGACCACGTGATTTTAATTGGACATTGAGTAACTAATTAAAGTTTTTCTGTGATTTATGTTTTAATTTTAGTGGCACTGAACTATCAGACCGAGGGGCGGATGATGCAACTCAACAGAGCCAAGTTTATGGTGAATGGGGGAATCGGTTTCGTCCTGAAGCCGCCTCCCATGTGCAAAGGTACAGAATACACAAACAAGCAAAATGACACTTTGAAGCTGAAACATTCTTCAGCTTTTAGTCRTTTGATCAATGAAATGTTGATCTTTTTTAGCTTCCTTTTTAAATTAGTTAAATGCAGAAAAAAATCTCATTCAAAAGCAATGAGGACCCTAAATAAAGAAATAAAGAAAATGAGGTGTAATATTAAATGGTATGTATTTACATGAATTTATGTAATGTGTTTACATTTAAGAGCAGGCCAGAACCCAATGAGGCCTTACAAGAGGTACAAAGCTGTCTGCTGTGAGGAACCAACAGTGACAGAGCGCCCGAAAGTCAGGATTAACTGATGACATTAATTAAAGTTGCTCTTCTGTTTTTCTCCCTCAAGGCTCCTTCAACCCATTCAGTGATGACCCACTTCCAGCTTACCCCAAGAAGCAGCTCATTCTCAAGATCATTAGTGGACAGCAGCTGCCGAAACCACCGGACTCCATGCTGGGGGACCGTGGGGAGGTAAAACAACACAACAAAACACAAACACGGTGTTCCCACATCTTCCTTTTCCACACGTTTCCACGCACGTCTGCACCTTATAATCTCGATGGCTCAGAAATTGTCACGTTCTGCTCAGAGCTCGTATAAAACCAGCATCGTGGCTGAGTTTTGATTCATTCTTTTGCCTTCTCTCCTCTAACAGATAATTGATCCATTCGTTGAAGTAGAGATCATTGGTTTGCCGGTTGACTGCTGCAAGGAACAGACACGAGTTGTTGATGACAACGGTTAGAAACACACAGCAAAATAATCAGATCACAGCTTTGCATGGTTTTAATAGTACTGAGCCCACGAGGGGACATGGGAGATTTTTGTTCTTTTGCATTCCCACGCAAAAGGTATTGCGTTACCTCTCAATACCTTTTGCGTTCCCTCGCAAAAGTCCTTTATCACTGTTGTGCCTGCCGGTTTATTAACAAATTCACGTATTCACCATTAGCGAGTTAGCCTACTTTAATTCAGCTTCAGAATGAATATATYACACAGCCAAGCATGGAAGTATGTCATWTGCTGATATTTTAACACAGTGCAGCCACGCAACATCAATRTCATTTCACGAACTCGTGGYGACACATCCTGTTTTGGTAACCGGATATTTCAAAATAAAAGTCTGATTTAATTCAGTTCATGWACAAAACWAACTTTTGCKTGGGAATRCAAAACAATTTTGCAAGGTAACGCAGAAAGTTTTGCGAGGTAACGCAAAGATATTGCGAGGTAWTGCAAATATATTGTGAGCTAATGCAAATGTTTTGCGAGGTAACACAATAGCATTGCGTGGGAACGCAAAACAACAAAAACAATTCCCCCATGTCTGCTCGCGGGCTCCAAATAAAAGAACTTTATTTTAGCTCATTGTATAATTTTACACACTTAAAACWGTATATTGAAACAATGTCATAGAATCCAAGATCAGGGGCATTCTGATTCTTATTAAAACAATGTCACTGTTACAAGTGCTGCATTTTACTCTGGGCTGTGGTGCACAGTAATGATCAAAAGTCAGACAAATTAATTAGAAACGGAAAGGAAGCAGAACGTAATAATCTGCTAGTGTGGCCCTTAACATGCCTCCACAGATGAGGGTTAACCAGCAGGGGAGACAAAATTAGCCCCTGGGAAAGGTTATTCAATCCTGGGGGCTCAACAGTATTATAGGATTAGATCATTGATCCCTGAAATGCCACACTATTTCACTCATTTTAGTACCAATTCAGTTTTTTTCTGATGTTTCTGAAATTCTTGAAGCATGCACTTCAGAGTAATAAAATACCAATAAACACTCCATTTATTTCACAAACATCTGTATTCTGTACCCAGGTTTTAATCCAGTATGGGAGGAGTCGCTGTCCTTTACGCTTCACATGGCTGAGCTGGCACTTGTGCGTTTTCTAGTCTGGGACCACGACCCAATCGGACGAGACTTCATTGGTCAAAGGACTGTTGCCTTCAGTAGTCTGATGCCTGGTTTGTGCAGAATTCTTGGGATTTCAGTATTTTTTAAGCAATAGTTGAGAGTGGAGTCATGTAGAAAGGTTATTAACAATTATTATAGATCTCAATTTGGAGAAAAAAATATTTCTAATTTGATTAAATTAAAGCCAAGACTGAGCAGAGCCAAGACCAAAGAGGACTTCTGCCATTCAAAAATTTATTTGTGGTTCATTCAGATGCTGTTTAATAAGCAGTTATTCTGACCGAAAAGTAAAAATTCGGAATTGCCCTGTCCTGCATTAGAAGTGCTACAGCTAACTGTTGCTGCTATTTGTGATCACAAAAAAAAAGAAAAAAAAGAAAAAAAAACACAAACATCTTCATAAATGACCCTGTAATGTGAAATTAAGAGTAGCTTAAAGGGTAATAAAATGGACTTTGCAGAAATAGCCAATAAATGTGATTTTTTTTTTTTACATTCTGATTATCAGGAAGGCAGTAATTCAATTTGGCTCTTGGATTAGCTCCACTACTCATTAATCCAGTCAGAATAAAACTGTTTTTCAAACTGAACTAGTTCAAAGAGATATCCACAGGTATGATTTTAGTTATAACCCTTCAAAAGATCTGAATTATCTTTTCAATTAATGTTCTATGTGTATATGGATGATCACATCAACCTGTAGAATTGTAGTATTTGTGTTAACTAGTTGTACCAGTTCTTGCAATAGTCTCACTGCCCCTTAGCACAAATATTCAGATTTATGCTTTAGTGCATAATTTTGCTTCTGACTCAGTGCAGTTTAGCTTTGGGGCACATTACTCTGTGAACCATGATGTGACTCATTTGTATCATAAAACTGCGCTTTAGTYAGATTATTTGACTTGTTTATTTGAGTCGATCCTAAACTCTCAATTCCCTCTAAATGAGGCAGCCACTACATAATCAGCACTTTGATGGCATCTTTCTTAAAACTCAGAAGCTCTTTCACATTCATCTTTTAACAACAGGTTACAGACATGTCTACTTGGAGGGACTGACTGAAGCTTCCATCTTTGTGCACGTGTCAGTGCACGATGTCTACGGGAAGGTTAGTGCTCTATAGCCTTGGTGTTTTTCTGTAGCACTCAACCATTCAAGCCTCTTTTGTCAACAGAGATTATAATGTAGGGAGAAATAGAAAATGTGGTTCTGCCAACTGAGGCTCTGCTCCTTTCCTTCTTTGTCCTTCTAGTGGAGCCCTCTTGTCCTGAATCCCAGCTTTACCATAATGCACTTTTTAGGAGCTAACAAGGTATAAGTGAGACCCTGGGCTTTCTGTTGTGCTGCATGAAAAAGCAATGCATGCCGCAGATGTGGCGTTTGTGGCCAGCCATATGTTTTGGACATGATTGTGGCTGACATAAAGTCAAACAGGTTGCTTGCAAAGATATGGATTTTTAATGATCGTCTTTATTTTTGCAGCGGTTAACGAGACAGTTTCAGTTAAGGCATGTATGCATAAAGAAACAACAGCTTTTTGCATATTGTTTGCTGTGCTGACAATACTGAAGGAGTAAGGGCGCCATCTATTGGTGCTGTTTAAAAAAAGCATGCCGTTGTTTCATTTGCTGCAAATCAAATTCAAGACGATGGATGTGTTTCCATTGTATCCATAACAATTAACACTTTGGCTTCAAACCATTATCTGTGAAAATAAATTGTGTTCAGTATGTCAGATGTGCCGTTTCTCATTTTCTTCCTGCACGGATCCTTCTGTCCTCAGGGTAATCAACTGCGAGGTATCCGTGGTTTCTTCAACCGCTCCTCCAAGTCCTCCGTGGACACGAACACGAGCGGTCTTCGAAAACGCTCCATTAGTGACCACCTTCTGCGCCGCACAGCCAGCGCCCCGGCGAAGGGGAGGAAGAAGACGAAAATGACGCTGTCGGAGTCGGTGGCCTCAATATCCGACAACAAGAATGGGGCGGCAGCGGGAGGAGAGGGAGCGTCAGGGAAGGAAGGATGGGTAGAGAAGCCTCTCCAGCCTAGAGCACCTCTGATCCACAGGCCCGTTTCCATGCCATTAGACAGACTTCTGCAAGGGCAGCTGTCCATCTGTTCTCCAGACAAGGAACAGCAGGATGTGGGAGCAGATACTGTCATTAGTAAGTTTTCTTTTTGCTAATCTATGTCAAAGGCAGAACTGTTTGAGAAATGCAAGTAACACACAAATTAGTTTTTAGCAGTATGCTACATTATGTAATTGAATTAAACTTCTTTTTTCTAGCAGAATAAGAGTGGCATTTGAAAGAATGCAATTTAGCCTGAATTGTTTAACATGTATGACTCTAAGCAGTTTCCTGATTTTTCTCTTTTTCCTGCCACAGCTACTTAAAGTGGACATATTATGCAAAATCCACTTTTTTAACCGTTAAATGCATTTTGTTGTGTACTTGGAGTGTCCGGGAGTGCAGAAAAGTTGAACTTAATGTCTCACGGTGCTGCATAGATATCTTTATAATCTGTTGGGTCATATTTTTCAAACTGTTCAGTTTTCTCTATTTTTCATGACATTTTCTGAAATATTATGTCAAATTGTTTGTGATGGAACTGCTGAATAAGATCTGGACTTACCAACTTTACCAACTACAGTTTGGTCATCTTCATTCTCCTCTCACTCTGGGTCCATCAACTCAGGCTGGATGGACAAGTTTTAAGTTGTTGACATCTTTTAATTAATTTGAAAATAAAATGATTCTGCGCTGCTATAGTTGTAACCCCCTTTATCAAACTGGAATGGACCACTTTGGAAGCTAGAGGGGCTGTGGGATGTGAAGCGCCTTGTTTTAATTTAAAGAGACAGTCTCAAAATGAGTTGATCTAAGACACACCTCAAACGAAAGAGGTGAAAGAGGGGATTGTGGAGTTACAGTTGCAGTTCCACTTTATGTAGACCCCAAATGAATGATTTAAATGTGAAAAAGAGGGATTTAAAAGCATACTATGTCTACTTTAAAGCTCATGTACAATAACCATGTGAACTGATAGACCACAGCCTAATCTCCACAATACCTTAACATGCTTTTTCTGTCCCATCTTCATTTGTTGTTTTTTATAGTTGAGAACTGACTAGGATATTTCTGCAGGTAATCTAAAAAAACCCCTCCTGTCTGAAGGTTGCATTGTTTAAAGACATGAGTATTGCGTTCATCCAGTGTATTTTGTTTGGAAGTGGGCTCTGAGATATATATTGATGTACCATTTGATTCCATTTGACCACTCCAATTTCACTTGATCATCTTTTTCCTAATACAGTATTTGCAAACATGATTTATTTTATTTTATTCAACCTCAACAGCCTCATTTCCCAGCTTCCCCTTCACAGTTGTTCTTGGTGATCCATTTGTCTGTGTATTGCTATTGCCTTGTATTGGATGTCTTGTTAATTGTTGTCCTTTGTTTTTTGGCTTCGGTTATGCAACAAGTATATTATGTTACCCTGTGTTTCCTAATACTTTCACTGATTTGTTTGTGTCCCCAGGAATTTGCCAATTCAACAAACCCAGGTCTTCCTCTGTGGACCTTCTCATTGAGTCGTCGTTACCTGTTGAATCAAACATCTCTCCACTTTCAAAGACAAACAGAAATAAAAAGTCTGAAGAGGCTTCTTATATGGTTATTGGTGCTGGCAAAGTAATAAAGGAAGATATCTATGTCAATTACCAGTCAGAACTCAACAAATCACATATCTCATCAGCAGAAACAGACAAAAACCACTCTATGACACTTTCCACAAACAGCCAGGTGACATCTGATAAACCCGAAACATCATCGAATAGCACCATTTTCACGGTTGCACCTCCAACCTCCTCCTCCTCTTCCTCCTCCTACACCCTCTCATCTATGGCACTTAATTCTCCTGTCAGAGTGAACAATGGTGTAAAAAGTCCCAGCTCCTTGCATGATAGCACCATTTCTAGACTCATTGATGCCATGTCCTTAGGCAATGAACAGGACACATGTTGCTCTATTTCTGCCCTGATTGATCAGTTTGAAAACACTGTTGACCAAAGTAATCTCACATTGTTATCACCTGATATCACACTGTCTCGGGCATCAAAACTTAGGCCTACAACACCCAAAGCCCTGGAAAATTTAAGGTCTCCTCTCAAGAACAATGCAACTTCACCAAAAAAGAACCCTGTGCTGAGTCCTCAAAAGGCAACTCAAAAGACTAATCATGTTAACAGTGAAATTGATTCACCTCGCAAGGATTCCAGTGCAGATACACACACTCCATCTCTCATCTCAAGCCCAGAAACTGCTGAGCTCGAGGAGGTCTACACCATTCTGGATGAGGAGGTTTTGTTGCCTGTGTCAGTGTACAACCTGAGGAAGCAGACAGTTCACATTCAGGTGGATACAACAGAGAGTTCCCCTTCAAACAGTTTAGGGACCTCCCCAGCAAAGACAAATCACAGTTTAGGGAAAGGGCCCAGTGTGGCATGGTCTAATGTGGACAGAAGTTGGGGTGAAAGTGAAAAATCTGTAGAAGCAGAGGAAAGAGTATACGAGGAGGTGAATGATCCTCCAACTGCATTATTTGAATCAGAGCAGGGCACTTATAAAACTTACACGAGTTCCTCCTCCAATAAACCCTTACAAATTTTCCACCATTCAGCTAGAGGGACATTTACAGAAGTGGAGCTAAATGTTGACGAGGATCCAATGGAATTGATGCAAACTTTGCCACATCATGGCAACCATTGGGAAGCCAAACACGATGTTATTTATCAAAACCACGGGCCCACTCCCAGCTACTCCCAACAAAAACATCCTTCTTCATACCCTAAACTACACTACCCAAAACATGCATCTCATACATCATTCTCACAGTTTCCTTCACTGGTGAATCAACCGTCACGTCAGCTGTTCAATCACCATCAACCACAAGGCATTCTCCAACCTCCAGTCCATCATAAATTCATTAACCATGGACCACCCAACCTTGGTCCAGTTAGTCAGAACAGCTACCCCATGTGTCAGAGCAACTCTGCGGTCTTTAACAACAGCAGAGACTTCAACATTTCCAAAACACAACAGAGAAGCTCAAGTAGTAGCCAGATCAAGTCTCAAGAAAGGCCAGGAAACAGGCAGATAAAAACTGAAAGAAGAGATGGCTCCTCCTACAATGGTTTTTCTTCTGCTGAAAGCCTTCCTGGTCAATGTGATGTATCTTTAAACATCCCCAGAAAGAGAGATTCAGATTCACCTTCTTTTGAATGTGAAACCTTGTACAGTCAGCTAGACTATGATTGCATTATGCCCTCATCTGAGCCTTGTGCTTTTCAAAAGATCCAGCCCCAAAGCCAAAGTCAAACAAAGTTATATGGCCCTAAACAGTTTGGCATACATAAAACCAACCTTGTCAATAAAAAAATCCAGGCACACTCTGAAACCAGAGTTCCATTGCACTCAGATTTAGAATCTTCATCTGCCTATCTTCAATCAGCTACCACAGGTTCTAAAACCCCAAGTCCCTGCAAGTCTAAATCTCTGGGAGACCTGACCTCTGAAGACATACTGTGCAACTTTCAGAGCAAGTATCACATTATTAGTCGCAGTTTTGTCACGTCTCATGTGAGAAAGCAAAAGCATAAAGGCACCATGGGGGAAGCATCTTTTCATTCACAGTCGTTGGATCCCCTTACACAACAGCTACGTAAACTGGTTAGTCTGGAGGCAGATGAAAGCCTACGACCTCCTCAATTACAACAGGAAGCACAATACCAAGCAAGTAATTTATCCCCAGACAATTCCAGGGATTTAGATGATTCCCCTCCTACTCTTACCCGTCGCCTCTCTTCCCGAAGCCAAAGCCGAGTGCGACACATCAACAGTCGTGCTCGCGAGAGGCAACAAGAAGCTCTGAAACCTCATCCGGGCGTGGTGATCAATAGTACGTCCAGCATTGGTGGGGTGGTACGAAGGAATAAACCAGCCCTGCAGAATCTGCCACCTAACAGACACTCAACCGGTTCTTACATAGCAGGCTACCTTGGTGAGCTGGATGACAGAGGACTTCCTGAAGGGGCCTGCACCTCCATAAGTTATGGCAACGGGGACAGTCTTGGAGATCTGTACTATACAGACAACTCTCTCCCCTCTTTGAATGCTTCCCATTCAGCATCTGAACCTGAAGTCTATTTTCTGCTTAGATTATAACTCTGATCATAGTTTGTTGAGGAATTATAGCATTACCCTTGGTTTGGTTCAGCAACACCAAAACCAAGATGACCAATGAAATAYAAATTTGCACTTGTTTGTTGACATGTTTGTTAACATTTTCCTCTCTAAGAGTTATGAAATGATCATTCCAGGCTGTTTCTAGTCAATAAACAATAAACTGTTAGTGAAACATTACAAATAATCCATGATTGGACTTAACAGCATGAAATTACCTGTATGAAATGTCTACTTTTCCATAGAGAATGGTCTTGTTGACTCTATTGTCTTTATTCTGCTAAATGTGTAAATGTCCCTTCTGAATGACTTCCTGGTTAGACTGATTGTACAAACTCTTGTTATTTTTGTCTGTGTTGTACCGTCTAATCTACGTACAGTGACTCTGAAGCAAAAAAAAGGAAGAAAAAGAAAGAAGGAAAATGCAGAGACTTTGCATCCTTTGAATGTGTAGTATATTCAAGCAGCTTATTTTTAACAGATGGATTTCATCTTTTCAGATATCTCATGCAAGTCTTCCTTCTCTCTTTAATGGTATTTCTCTAATTGTATTTTGTGTAAATATCCCTGTTATCACTTTTTTTGTTTGGGATGAGTTTTTGCAGAGAATCATTTATGTTTGTGCATGTTACATGTGAACATGTCAAGCATGACTATGCACCAGTTTATACGATAGTTGTTGGATTACCTAAACACATTTGCACATAACAAACAGAGGTCAGAGGCTTGTTTGTATCGGGGCACATTACAGTATTTGTTGCTCTGTATGATTTGTAAAATTTGATGGCAAAATTTAAGAAAAAAAATTGGAATTCAAAGGTTTTTTATTTTTATAATTGCTTTGATACAGACAGTAAAATATGCTCTTGTTCTTTGGGGTTGGTTTATTTTGTATAACTTGATGAATAGAACAAATGAGRTGACAGCTACACAGGGTCAAGCTGAGAAGGGAAGGGCAGTAGAGGTATGAATTTGTTTTTAAACACTTCTTTCAGTATTACACCATATTTTTTTCTTTTTTCTTTTTGCTCATTGGAATTGTGAGCATTTTTCCTATCAATGCAATAAAATAAAATTTTTGATTTGAACTGATGTTATCTTTACCACTTTTTTTACTACATACTAACAGATAAAAGATTAACATGCAGATGATACTTAATAATTTATTAGACTTGTGTTCTTAGTAAATGTAAAGAGTACCATTCCATACCATACCATACCATACCATACCATACCATACCATACCATACCATACCATACCATACCATTTTTATTTATAAAGCACTTTAAACAGCACAAGGCCAACCAAAGTGCTATACAATAGACAGACACAAAAGGACATAGTTAAAATTACAGTCAAAATWCARTCAAATTACAGATAAAAATATGRAGCATTTATATTTAAAATACACATAACAGAGTTATGATACACAGTGAGGTTTTGCACCATCTCACTCAGAATCAAAGGCAAGGGAGTAGTAGTGTGTTTTTAAGCAAGACTTGAAGACAGCGAGTGAAGGAGGCTGTCTGACATGTAGTGGCAGTTCATTCCACAGAGTAATATGAAACAGTCTGGCCAGCAATGTATAATAATAATTAAACTCATTAACTTTTGTTGAGAAAATGACAAATGTCTTTACCCTAACTTTTGTATTAGTTAATTTGTAAAACATCAWGCAGTATTTTGGTAAGTGCAGAAGTTATCAAATCTTTTACAAGTACAAACATATGACATTTTCTAACATTTAAACCATAGTAACATTTGGTGGAATGCTAAAGCTTGAAACCAGATAAATTGTTTCAAATTTAGAGCAGCTRGTAACTTTATGCTATTAGGAGAATTTACCATCATTGTATTTAAAATGAACAATAGTCAACATTTTGGAATAAACGGCTCCCAATGCCTTTTGTGCAGACAGTACAWATTTAACTCGATAAAACTTTAATTTTATCAACATTGTTGGGTGCAGCATGGTGATCTAATGACAAAAAGAAACAATATAAATAAATCCCATCATCACTATGTTGTTATGACTTCTTTCTTCCACAGGGGTGGCTGAAAGATTTTTGGTAATTGTTTYACTCCATATCCCCTTCTGACCAAAGCTGGACTTGAACCTGCAGCCTCAGGATTAYAAGAYYGCAGYACTGACCAATGAACTACCAAAGTCTGYATCACAATGTCACCGTATTTAGCTAAATTACATGCTACTCAGGAACATTGTTTCAGATCCATTTGACTTTTTGTCAGAGTCCAAGTAAAAGCTCTTCTTCAGAGAAAAGAAAGGAAATGTTTGTGCTMCCAACTGCATGTGAATATGAATTAATTATTTGAATGAGTGAATGAGTGAGTTGTCCTACAACTTTTGAAAGGCCCTCCCGATTGACCCACCAGCTKGACTCTCCCTTTAATGAAACCTTTGGGGGAGACTTCAGCACAACAGCTGGTTCTCTACAGCTCATTGAGAAGAGTTTGTTCAGTTCTTCATGTCTGTAAGAGGGGCAGTTATTTCTATTTCATTATAAATCAATTGCACATGTATGTAGTAATTTCTGCAATACATGTTATTCAGTAACTGTTGGAATGCAGAAAACCAGATGGCAGAAAAAGGCTTATCAKGAATAAATATCACTGTGTTCACCTCTATTTCACTCAGAGTAAATACATTTTAATGAAAAAACTGCTTTCATTTAAAGAAAAGTGCTCTATTAAACAAAAACACAATATAAAATACTGAATGTGGTAATTTTTAACACAAAAGTAGACTTTATTTGATAAGAATGTACCGAGTACATGAAAATGTAGACCAAAATTCATCAAGATAATATTAACTCTTTTTTTCAAATTCTTTATTCCTTAGGAGTATATACAGTAGATACTTAGATGTTTATGCAAGATATCAATTGAGAACAAAGTGCATGAAGACTAAAAAGTCAAACACATTTTTCACAAATGCTTGACTGATTWTTTCTTCTGAGTGCAGCTTTTATCAACAAAAGAAAGCCTGAAAGTTMTGTGTGCTTTCCATTTAATACATTCAGGCCCATTTATGTAGCYGTTTGGARATAATAAAAAGAGAAAAGRTTTTCACTTTTTCAAAAATCATTTTTCTAATTAAACACAATTGTGAGTCTAGTTTTGTTTAAATATGACAAAAAAAAATGACTAAATATTCTCTATGTCTTCTTCTCAGTATTCTGACCACAGCACTCAGGCTTATCCAGTATTAATTTTATTTAAAAAAAAATTTCGGTCATTGCAAAAAAAAAAAAAAAAAATGACTAAATATTCTCTATGTCTTCTTCTCAGTATTCTGACCACAGCACTCAGGCTTATCCAGTATTAATTTTATTTAAAAAAAATTTTTGGTCATTGTAAAAAAAACTGTCTCTATTTGTGATCTATGAAGTCATAAAAACAACTGAACAAACATGCCCAGCCTGTTTTTTCCCCCTGTGTGTTGCCTCACTTTATAATTGTATAATGAGATGTAATTGTTTGTGAAATGAACAGTAATTAAGATGATCAGTTTCACACCTGCTGCTGCTCTGCACCTTTTAATCTGTTCAACTTGATTTTGTTAACAGCCCTTCTGTTTGAAACATTACAAATTACAAAATGTTACAAATGGCAGGAAAAAGTCACTTGCTTATGACAAAAATAAATAAATAAAATAAAAGGAATATATAGTTTTATTATTGATGCTGCCTCTTGGTCATTGTTGTAAGAATCTCATGGACTCACCTGATTAAATAAAGGTTAAATGAAATGGGACCATAAATAAATGTATTTGGCACACAATGCTGGTTTAAAGCTGGTGTCACACATAATTCCAACATTCACATCCATTTTAAAATTAAAGTCCTAATTTTCCTTAAAGGAATGCATAACAGCCACTGCCTTTTACACCAGAGATTTAAACTAAAACGACCTTAGAAGGAATTACATTCTAGCTATTATGGTAATAATATATTATTTAAAATTATTAGCTGCTCAAATTGATGCAGACAGAAAGCACATCTGAGTGATTGGGATAAATCTTTTCACCTGATAAATTCTTTCACATCTGTTCAGCACAAGTTAATGGATGCCAAGCTCACATGAACATGTACATGAACATGGTGAACTCCAGTTTTATCAGCAACCAGTTAGCAAAAAGGTGGACAAGGAGCAGTAAAACCTTCTTTAACAAGATGTACCAACTAAAATGGTCAAGCTGTGGGGCAGAGAAGAAGACAGAAGAAACGACCCTCTTGTCAGGCCTACTTCTGTTAGAATAAAAAAGCTTTACTACTATTCGCTAAGTTTGTCATTCAATATGATAACCTTATCTAGATGCTTTTTTTTTACTCTAGACGTTAATTTATTTACTGCTACCATTTTTGTTATGTCCGAGCACCAAGTGTGTTTTCAAATTGAATTACAGTAATTCATATTTCCCACTTTTGTCCTGTCAGAGGCCCTTAACATCACTGATAACCTTAGTTTTATATTAAAGTGTGTCTGAATGTGTAGCAGCGGGAGCTTGCACTTTTAAAAAAACATGCAAGAAGTGACTTCGTCACTCAAGGCAGTGCCCAACTGAGGCATAGAAATGGAAAGAACATAAAGCACATTTTTATTAGAACATAAAGTCTTGATCAAATTCAAACACACAATTTGTTAAACCTGTTTTAGCAGACATCTGACTGGTGAGGTGGCTAAAATGTGGTGCCTAAAGTAGATTTGCTCTGTGACTCCAGATTTGTTTGTTGCTTTTCATCATGACTCTGGGTTTCTATTTGAATTAACAATACCTTTATTTCTTGTAAAAAATGTAATATAAAGACTTATCCATCCATCCATTATTTTATTTTTACTTGCTTGATCTTGTGCCTTACTAATGGTCACTGGCGAGATGTAGGGTACACCCTGGACTTTGTCACAGGGCCGCATGAGACAAACATCCTTCCATGGACCCATTCACACCTGAGGACAAATTATAACAGCCCAAAACATTCAAGATGATGTTGAACTTCAAGAAAGAAAGAAAAAAAAAAACAGAGAACCTGGACAACATTGATGCATGCACAAAAAGAACTTCATTTAGAAGGAACTCAGCTGAGTTCTGAACCTGTGACCTACATGGTGTGAGGCAAAAGTGGCAACCAACTGTACCACTGTGTGGCCCAGATATGAAACCCTTTTTAAAAACTTAGAGTGCCAAGACAGCCTTATTTTTAAAGCAACATATTGACCCTTCCAAAAACACATTTGTTAATTGACTGCTCTGCCATTATTACGAGATTCATATTTTGTATGGCCCAAAGCCTAAACTCAGCAAGTTTAGGCTGAAAGCCTCTTTTATTCATGAAAATTTGAGCTGCTTCATGAAGTTCTGACTGGAGCCTAAGCTCTGAATTCCAACAAGATAATTAGCAGCTTATGAACTGCTTGGCTGAATAGTTTTATTGAAATATTTTTGTCGCTATGGCTTTTCTGAGCCATATTAGATCATTTCTAGTCAATTTTTCCAACAATGATCAGCAAAAACAGTGTCTGTTGTGAGGCTCTAACTCTTCTCTGTCACTCTATTGCTCTGATGATTGCCCCGCCTTTACCTCTGAGAGGAACAATTTGATTTCGTGTCATCTTGGTCATCACCATGGATCCACTATTGACTTCACAGCAATGATAAATAAAAAGAACACCTGTGTTGAGCAGAGCAGGAGGGAGGTATGTCAATTATTAGTCTTAGTACTAGTTGCATAGTTTTATGTGATTTGCATTTTTGAACGTGTGTAGTTTATTTAGGTTTTCTTCAGGTGTGAAGATAATTTCTTGCATTTACTTCATAAAACTTTTGATTGATATTGTCTTAAATGCATCCCCTGTCTTTAGGCTGATCATTTTCATAAAGCTGTATGTGTGTTACCTGTATTTTAAGTGTCTAGAACAGCAACATCCATGTCTTGGATGTCCCGGCTCATCACTTTGTGGACCTGCTCCGCTCCGTCCCTGCTCCTCGTGGGGCTCGTGGGCAGGCAGCTGGGGCTCGGGGTCGGTTTGCAGGTGGTTCAGACGCTGAATTGTTCTCGATGGGCAACACCAAGTGACAAGGGTGTGTTTGAGGACGGGGATGTAATCCTCGGTGGGCTGTTTAATCTCTATTATATTCCTCCAACTTTAGAGCATGACTTCACCAGGCAGCCGCAGTACAAATCGTGCACGGGGTAAGACTCTGAATTTCCACTGAACCAATAATTTGTTAATTTTTCTTTCATTTGTTCATTGATTTCCTTTAGATTTATCTTGGTAAAATCATTTGTTTTCTTTTGATTCCATGCATTTTGTGTTCACAGTTTACAAAATCTACCCTTACAGTACATCTATGCTTTGATGTTTGCACTTGATGAAATCAATCACAGTCCCACCTTGCTACCAGGTGTGAAGCTGAGCTACTTCATTCGTGATAGCTGTGCCTTCCCTACCTGGGCTTTGCAGGCAGCTCTCTCACTGGTTAGCGGAGACACCCCCAGCTGTAATCCAGCAGCTGGGTTCCTGGAAGCTGCTGGAATCGGAGCAAAAAAAAGTAATTTATATTAATGGGCCTTAATGAGTGATCTGTTATAATTATGGAATATGCCTTTATATTTTTATGGAAAAGATGACATAAAAGATATATTCTTACATTAATAGGAGACCCACCCATTCCTTTGATCATTGGTGGTGACTCGTCTATAACAGCCCAGGCACTTTCCAGAATCCTGGGGCCACTTTCTGTTCCTCTAGTGAGTTCATTACAGCCTTTACTTTGATGGACTATACAGCATGGTTTATGTTCTCARACTGTAATCTATCTTCCTTGGGTACAGTTTATTTTTTTATCTGTTTTGCTGTTACAAGGATTGGAAACCATAAGAAGGTATAAATATTTGTTTGAAAGTGATTTATTTGTCTTCTAGGTGAGCTACACAGCTAGTTGTCCTTGTTTAAGTGACAGGCGGGAATATAGCAACTTCTTCAGAACCATGGCCAGTGATATCTATCAGGCCCGAGCATTTGTCCAGCTTGCTTTAAAGTTCAACTGGACTTGGGTTGGAGCGGTCATAGCGAACAACGACTATGGCCTTAATCTCTTAAAGGTTCATCCATTTGTCGTATTTGCTATGTGAAAAATATCCTAAATATAATCTTTGAAGAACTGGTGCATGTGTAATATGCAAAAACTTTTTTTCATATTCCAGATTTTTCAGGAGGGAATTCAGGAGGCAGGGGTGTGTCTGGCATTTGTGGAGACCCTCCAAAGGGAATCCATTGTAAGTGATACCAAAAGAGCTGCGCTCACAATTCAGGCTTCAACAGTTAAGGTGATTTTGGTCTTCACCTGGTACACAGATGTGAAGGAACTCTTCGTGCAACTAGCCAATATAAATGTAAGAAATAAGGACATGTGGAATGTACCAAACAAAGAGACATATAGACAGGAAAAAAACTTTCTTGTGCTTGTGTCTTGCAACTATTTCAAGGTGACTGACAGACAGTTTATTGCCAGCGAGGCTTGGAGCACCAGCAGTGATCTTCTCAAAGAACCCGCCTCGAGTAAAGTGGCAGGCGGGGTTTTTGGTGTGGCCATACGGAGCTCATTCCTACCTGGGTTTGACAGTTACATCAGAAAACTGAACCCGTCTCTGCGGCCGAATGATAAGTTCTTGAGGGAGTTTTGGGAAAACCAGTTTCGCTGTAGTCCTGGGAAGACGAGTCTTTCCACTTCTCTGCCTGCCTGCAACGGCTCAGAGACCCTGGCCGGAGTGCATAACCTCTTCACCGACACCACCCAGCTCCGGGTGACATATAACGTCTATCTTGCAGTTTATGCGGCAGCCCACGCCCTTCACACGCTTTTCTCCTGTCCTGACATTAACAGCCCACCTGGAAACAGTAGCACCTGTTTGGTGCCAAATCAAATCTCACCAAGTGAGGTAAACACTAATTTAGGTTTACTGCTTTGTGGTTTTCGTTTTAATATGGGGATTTAAGCTGTTACATATTTACTCTTTTTGTAATTCGATCCTTTCAGCTGTTCCAGCATCTGAGCAACGTGAAGTTCACCACACCACAGGGTGAACTCTTTTATTTCCAAGGGGCCGACACCACTGCAAAGTACGACCTCTTGAACTGGCAGAAAACCCCCGACGGACAGCTCAAGATCGCTTTGGTCGGCCGCATAGACGGCTTTGATATGCACCTGAATGAGTCAGCCATTCAATGGCACACGGGGTCCAGTCAGGTACATCGGATGTGTTTGGTTTCAGGTCAACATCAACATTCCTGTCTCGAATTCACATTGTGGTGTTGTAAAAAAAATGTTGTTCAGGTGCCTGTTTCAGTGTGCAGTGAAAGATGTCCACTCGGCACACGAATGGCCAGCAGGAAAGGAGAACCTATCTGCTGTTTTGACTGCATCCCGTGCGCTGATGGGGAGATAAGCAACAAAACTGGTGAGAGCCTGTTTTTATTTTACTGTGACATCAGTAGCTATGGAAGCTGAGAGAGGACATGTTCAGAAACTCTTTTAAAGTCACATGATCTCACAAGAGAAACTTGTTTAAATTGAACTATGATAGCAGTTGTCATTCTCAGCTTCTCTACCTTTCACTGTTTTCCTTATTTACAGTCAGGTCTTATGTATATATTTTTTTAACGTGCATCTTTTTGTCCCAGGTGCCCTTCAATGTGATCGTTGCCCGACTGAGTTCTGGTCCAACTCTGAGCGTTCAGCCTGCATCGTTCGCCAGCTGGACTTCCTTGCTTATAACGAGACTTTGGGCATWACCCTCACAGCCGTGGCTGTTTCTGGTGTCACAGCAACAACAATTGTGTTTGTTGTGTTCATTTATTATCGTCAAACACCAATGGTGAGAAGACAGATTTTATTATTAGCTTAGCATGTTAGACAACTTTAAACAAAAGCATCTAATTTGCGTCTCCTTTGCGTAAAAGCTAATTTTGTTTCTTGCGTTTAGGTGCGTGCCAACAACTCAGAGCTGAGCTTCCTGCTCCTCTTGTCTCTGAAGCTGTGTTTCCTTTGCTCGCTGGTGTTCATCGGTCGTCCCGCAGTGTGGTCCTGTCGATTCCAGCAGGCGGCTTTTGGGATCAGCTTCGTACTCAGCATCTCCTGCCTGCAAGTTAAAACCATGGTGGTCCTGGCAGCGTTTCGCTCAGCTCGGCCTGGTGCTGAAGCCTTGATGAAGTGGTTCGGTCCAGCACAGCAGAGAGGAAGTGTCTGCGTCTTCACCTGTGTACAGGTCAGATACTGACCTCATTTTTTATTCACTTTTAGGGTTTTAGATAAATTAACAATATTTAACATATCAGGCACTTTTTTTCTACATTAAGGTTATCATCTGTGTTATCTGGCTGTCAGTTAGTCCTCCAGTACCTCAGCCTGACTTTGCGGTACCGGGGTTAAAAGTCACCCTGAAGTGTGCCATGGACTCTGTGGTGGGTTTCTCTCTGGTGCTGGGCTACATCGGCCTGTTGGGCTGCACCAGTCTCCTCTTGGCATTTCTCGCCAGGAAACTGCCGGACAACTTCAACGAGGCCAAGCTGATCACYTTCAGCATGCTGATTTTCTGCGCCGTTTGGGTGGCTTTTGTTCCCGCCTACGTTAGTTCACCTGGAAAATATGCTGTGGCTGTGGAAATCTTTGCCATCCTCGCCTCTAGTTACGGTTTGTTGTTCTGCATCTTTGCTCCAAAGTGTTTCATCATCCTCCTGAGGCCAGAGAAAAACACCAAGAAACATCTAATGGCCAGATAACGAAARCACAGTTATTCTGGAACAGTGTTGACTATAAATAACATAAGTTATTATAATTTAATAATTTCATATTTTGTTCATAATTATGATTATTTTTTTATCTTTTAATTTGAGTTAGTCTTTTTAAACTATTTGTTGCTAAAGAGTTTCAGCTRTAAACTATGTTGTTCTTTGTTTAAAATGTTTTCCTA